ATACAAATCCATCGTGATGATGCTGCCATCGGATTTTCCTGCACCAACAGCCGGGGGCCAAGTCCCACTAGCGGCGTTGAGCTATAGCTCAACCCCTGAATCTGGATGTGTTTGTCGAGATGTGCAGTTCAGGAAACTCAACACCATTTCTGCAGATCTCTGCAAAAGCACCCACATTTAGGCGTTGAGGTAGCTCAACGCTGCTAGTGGGACTTGGCCCCGGGGGATGTCCCGCAGGTGTCCCACATGTGTTTAAAGAGTATCCTTTACCTTGCTTGTGTGCTAGTGGAACCGTGCCCAAGCCAGAACTTCCTCCTCTTTTTTTATTTATTTTTTACTTATTTATTTATTTTTATTTTTTATTTTTTTGACAATGAACAGTAATTTTATTAGGGCCCAGTGCCCAAGGCAGAAATATGGCACACTCACACCAGGCCCTCGCAACATGAGCGGTCAGATCGAGTCCTGTTAACCAAAGGATTTGTGGTTTTCGAGGGCCTAGCGTGAGTGTAAAAAAAAAAAAAAAAAAAAAAAAAAGCGTGTGTCCTCGTACAGCGTGAGTATACTCGTACAGCGTCAAAGAGCTACAAATTGAGGGGTCACAAAGTCTCCAATCCCACTTCCTTGGGTGGAGCCCCTTTCCTACAGAAACCACCATCCACAATTCCAAAAAGAAACCACCATCCACTTCCTTGCGTTTGTGTGTGCGTGTGTGTGCGCGCGCACGACTTTTGCAAGCGTGCGCCCCCCCCCCCCCCCCCCACACACGCAGGCACAAGCCACACTTGTTTTTTTCTTTCTTCAATCAATCAATCAATCAATCTCAATTCATCACAATCAATCAATCAATCAATCAAGCAATCAAGCAATCACCGACTTCTTTTTCGTTTTTTTCTAAATTGAATATACCCCACAAATCAACCGAGAAAAAATCTTTTTTTTTTTTTTTATTTCCCTATGGGGTAGGTAAGGGGTTGTGCAACCCCAATCCCAAACCCCCACCCCTGAACAGCCCCCCCCCCCTCTCCCGCCCCAGGTAAGGGGCCACCATGTGGCTGCAAAGGCCGTGAGTGGCCCGGTCGCAGGGAGGTCACGGTCACGGCCGGCTCGGTCGGATGAATGGAATAGATGGTGTGGGTTTGGGGGTGTTTGCCAACCTCAGTTGATCTACATTGGACGTTTGTATGGTTACCGAAGTAGTAGCGATGAGGGTCAATGTGGCAGCAATGAGACGCAACAGTGCAAACTACTCGGCACCTGGTTTGGAAATGGAGGGCAGATCACCTGGACTAGCATGAAAGCAGTGGTTGGTCGGCTGTCGGTGAGTTCGGACGCACGGAAGAGCACACTTCGTTTGACTATGTCTGTTGAAACTCGAAAGCGCTTGAGCATACAAGATTGCCGAGAACCTTGTGAGACCATGTGTTTGCAAATAAAGACAAGTTGTAGGTTGGTCATCGATGTCTCTAAAAGCGCTGGAGGGAAGACCAGGCGACGTCTGATGCACACTGTGTGTTTGCGAATAAAGACGAGCTGCAGGTTGGTCATCGATGTCTCTAAAATCTGTGTAGGGAAGACCAGCCGAAGTCTGCCACATCTCCTTTTAGCTGATAATCCCCGGTGGGATTACAGATGTGAAGTGTGAAGCATGACAAATGGAGGACCTGTGAAATGGGTTAAATAATAAATTTGGGATATTCTTGTGAACGCTTGCGTTTGGAAAATGTGTGCGTGCCACTTTCCTGAATTGCTACGCTCGGTGTGTCGACTCGGCGTGTGTGCAAACGGTTGTCAAGTTTGGACTTCAGAAAACCGTCGCCATGGCAATGGCTTTGTGCAAATGGTGTGACCCATCCATATCATGTCACTGCCAGTGAGTGGATGGGTGACCTAGTCGTCTAGATGGACGATGAGTCCGACATCATCTCCAGTTGGTGGCTCAGGTCCACCAGTGTGCATAAATGGTTCTAGTTACAGAATAGCGAAGGTACTTCACTACTTGTGTCCATCTGTCACGGCTATAGGCTATATCAGTAAGCTATAGGCTATAGCATATCTTGTGTCGATCAGTCACTGCTGGTGCGTATACTTGTCCATATCGGTAAGCTATAGGCTATAGCAGTGGCGGTTGTGCGGCGGTGCACCGCTTGCTGTACAGAGGAGAAAGGACATGAAGACGTAGGGTATAACATAGTACGAATACGGAGAATATGTGTTGTGTGGCTGACCAAAGGCCACAACAGACAGCAGCAGCAGGCCAGTTCATAGTACCTGTGAATACCACAGAGGACCACCCTTTCACTCAGTTGCTGAATTGAGTGTAATAATAATGTAATTCAGTATTCATGGAATCATGGCACCAATAATAACTCGTGTCTTTGTATGTTGTGATGACAACTGGTTCAAATATGTCCTTGAGGTCCTCTCTCTCTCTCTCTCTCTCTCTCTCTCTCTCTCTCTCTCTCTCTCTCTCTCTCTCTCTGTGTGTGTGTGTGTGTGTGTGTGTGTGTGTGTNTGTGTGTGTGTGTGTGTGTGTGTGTGTGTGTGTGTGTGTGTGTGTGTGTGTGTGTGTGTGTGTGTGTGTGTGTGTGTGTGTGTGTGTGTCTCTCTCTCTGACATACACACACACACACACAGAGACACACACAAAGACACACAGAAAACTGCTATTTTCATATTTTCCTGAAAACCAGTGGAATATGCTCGTAGCTCCTTACATGGCAGCACGCATGGATGAGGAGGCAGATCCTGCAACTACTTCACAGCAATTGGAAATCATTATCTTCGCCAAGGGCATACTCACTCTTGCGACTTTCTTCCATTAAACCGGATGGAATTGCATGTAGCCAAATCAGACCACCTTGTGCCCGGATGCACGTCTGGGTGCCTGGCCGGGCATCAACCCCAGCCAGGGTTCCGGGCGATAGCCCCGGCACCAATAAATAAATAAATAAAATCAAGAAAGAAAAAATGTTTTGTAGAGAAAAAAAAGACTTTTGGCTGAGGGTCACATTAGAATTCGTGATGAATTCGAAGATTAAACTCGTCACGAATTCGAAGATTAAATTCGTCATGAATTCGAAGATTAAAAAAAAAAAGAAAACAACAGAATCTGAAAAAGCCACCCCTTATTAAACCCCTTTAGCCCCTTAGAAACCAAATTATTACCCCTTTCCCCGCCTTGACTGCCAACACTCGAAAGGAGCCCGTATTTGGTCTCCTCTGGCCATGCAGAGAAAACCTCCACCATGAAAAAGAGGGGCTGATCTTTTTGCCTGCAAGGGATGAGGCACGGGCAACTTGCCCGGGCTGTGCACACCCGGGCAAGCCACCCATGTATGTGGGATTGTTTTTTTTTGGGACAAACCAAAATTCATCAACTGCAAGCCTGCGAACGGGGAGTGAGTGTTTTGGCCTTGCATGGGGTTACCTTCCCCTGACCATGAGCCACTGCCTGCTGTATGCTCGGCATATATCGATGAAAAGTATTTGTTAAACAACCAGTACATCCGGTCTACTTTCGTACAAGGCGGATTCCCCCTGCGCGCCAAGCTTTGCTGAAACGCCAGAGCGGTGTTTTTCATTCTGTTTTGGCTGACACCGCAAGCCATTTTGCTGCAGTTGCCCCGAACCTCTACTTTTCTTTTTTTCCGGCGACTCCCTGTCCTGATTCTCAAGTTGGCTGGCGCCATCTACTAGTGGCGCTTGTTTTTTTTTAAAACAAAATGACCAAGAGAGAGAGAGAGAGACAGACAGACAGACAGACAGAGAG